CTCCATTTCTAGATAAAATAATAGCACTTAACATGTACTGATTTATGCAAGGCTAGGTTCTAAATGCTGTGCGCAGATTAGTTGATTTAGTCTTTATTGATTTACTCTTCACAACAACCCTATGAGGTAGGTATTCTCCCCATTTTATAACTGCAAAGAAGCATTAAGTAATTTGTTTGCTTAAGGCGCTACAATTAAAAGTGGTAGACCTGGGATTTTACAGCTAGTGCCTGTGCTCTCAAAAGCAAAAAAACAAAAACTTTATCTGTATAAGAAGAATTTATGTTAAAGGGAAGAACTTTCTGACACTAATGTGGACTATGAAAGAAGTTGTGAAATTTTCCCATTGATGACCTTGTATCATTCTTCTGATTGGTTCTTAGAGAAGAAGTAAATAGTAAATAAGTTCTAGAGAAGCTGCTTGTGCTGCCAGAGCCTGGTGCTGGGAAAGCCACCTCTGCTGTTGTTTTATTGTATGGGAATTCAAACATGTGTAGAAGAGTACATATAGAAACTGAGTAGGCAAAGGGGTGAACTGTGCCAGTTATTAAAAATTTAGCTTCAGATTCCCCCTTTCTGCGTGCTCTGTGGATATGGAACTGAGTACTTTAAATATTTTTCTTTTGCCAGCTCATAGAATGCTAAGCTTTGTCAGTAGATACAGCATTCGAGGGACACTGCAGGAGGAAAGGGTTTTTCTTCTGAGTGAAGTGTGCTCTCAGCAGGATCTGTCCTGCTCTTGTGGTGTGAGCACCTTCTCCAGTGGCCTGCTGGTTCTTGCACTCCATGGTGGTCAGCAGCAGCCAGCAGCTTTCTGTAGCACCCACTTCAGTTGATTTCAGAATGGGGATCCTGCAGCAAAATACCTCCCAGTGAGCAGCTTTCCCCAGCATCCTAGATGGGGAGGATTTTCGCGATGATCCACTGGCAAGTCTGCACAGCTACTTCTCTGACATTCAGTGAGCCATAGCCATGCCCTCTAGCAAAGTCTGCATCTCAGTCCTGGGGTATTGGAGGAAGCTCTATGTCAGCCCTAGGGGTAGTTAACGCTCCATATATTTGTCATTCCTGTAGTCTTTAGTGTTACATCTTATTAGCCAATCCCCCTTTACTCCAACCCCTGTAATAGTTATTTTCTTTAAATTAAACTTTGCAAATTCAGGTTGTTGTGTGGTTTCTTTTCTGATTGGACCTCTACTTTTGCCATGTATATTCATTGCTTTTTATTCAACAACTTCTTAGTGCAAAAGAGATGTTGTTTTTTCCTGAAACTTTACTACCATTGCTATAAATAGCAAGTTTATCTTCAAACTCTTTTTTATTGATGATACTCTTAGATTTAAATACGGAATTTTTAATACATAGTGACTTCATCAGTTATTACTTTTCTAATCTTCATATCTTCTAGATTGATTTATTTATTTATTTATTTATTTATTTATTTATTTATTTATTTATTCATACTATAGTAAGCACATGCTTTATTCCAGACTGTGCAGTGGCCTGAGAGAACGATAGTGAATGTGACAGAAATGGATTTTTTTGCTTTATGAGATGGGATCAATAGAGCTTAGTGAGTTTGAGTATGAGGTGAGAATGAAGAATCAGGATGACTCAGTATTTGTGTTTTTTGACTTTGATATGATTCACAGAGATAGAAGGCCTTCAGGATGACATAATTTTTTTTCTTAATTTACTGACTGGTAGTTGGAGGGGTATATATTGACTCTTAGAAACTGGCAACAAATGGAACTGGTAGGCTGCCTGGGTGTGTAAAAAGGAAATAAGTGAAACTAGAAGCATTTCCATAACAAAACAGTGAAGTACTGATTAGGAAACTAAAGCTTAATAACTCAAAATTCCATCTAAGTATTGTAACAGTGTGTACTTGTTTTGTCTTACATGAGTAATTGCAAGAGTGCTGTGGCATGGATATTCTAAAAGAGAAATTATACTAAGCAGTAAACTATTAATGAATCACAGGCATCAAAGAATTGGAATAGCTGAAAAATTTATTATATTTGCCATAATAATATCTCTTAATATACATATTGTATTTTAGGTTCTATGGAGGATTTGTTTTGAAATACATTATAGTACTTTTTGGCTACAAATTTATGTTTCGCACAGAACACTGCTCCATCTTGGTAATAAGAGGAGTAGGCTAGGGTGGTGAAAAAGCCGAAGGGTCAAAAGAAGTTGATTCAGTACAAGCATACCTCATTTTATTGTGCTTCGAAGATTCTGCGTTTTTAACAAATTGAAGGTTTGTGGCAACTCTGCATTGAGCAACTCTATTGGTGCCATTTTTCCAACAGCATTTTCTTACTTTGTGTCTCTTTGTCACATTTTGGTGATTCTCAAAATATTTGAAACTTTTTAATTATTTATATTTGTTATGGTGATCTCTGATTAGTGATCTTTAATGTTACTTACTATTATAATTATTTTGGGGCGTAATGGACAATGCCCATCCATATAAGACTAAGACAGGAAAAGCAAACAATGTGTATTTCTGCTCCACCTACTGGTGGTTCCTGATCTCTGTCTCCTCTGGCCTCCCTAGTCCCTTAGACAGCAATATTGAAATCAGGCCAATTAATAACCCTACAATGGCCTCTTAAGTGTTCAAGTGAAAGGAAGAGTTGCACATCTCTCAGTTTAAATCAAAAGCTAGAAATGATTAAGCTTAGTGAGGAAGGCATGTCAAAAGATGAGATAGGCCAAAAGCTAGGCCTCTTGCACCAAACAATTAGCCAATTGTGAATGCAAAGGAAAAGTTCTTAAAAGAAATTTAAAATGCTACTCCAGTGAACACAAATGGTAAGAGAGGGAAATAGGTGTATTGCCGATATGGAGAAAGTTTTAGTGGTCTGGATAGTTCAAACCAGTCACAACATTCCCTTAAGCCAAAGCCTAATCCAGGGCAAAGCCCCAACTCTGTTGAATTGTATGAAGGCTGAGAGGTGAGGAAGCTATAGAAGAAAAGTTTGAAGCTAGCAGAAGTTAGTTCGTGAGGTTTAAGGAAAGAAGCTGTTTCCATAACCTAAAAGTTCAAGGTGAAGCAGCAAGTGCTAATGTCAAAGCTGCAGCAAGTTATCCAGAAGATCTAGGTTAATTAATGAAGGTGGCTACACTAAACAACGTTTTATTGATGAGACAGCCTTATATTGGAAAAAGATACTATCTAGGACTTTCATAGCTAAAGAGGAGAAGTCAATACCTGGCTTTAAAGCTTCAAAGGACAGGCTGACTCTCTTGTTAGGGGTTAATGCAGCTGGTGACTTTGAGTTGAAGCCAGTATTCATTTATTCCAAAAATCCTAGAGCCTTTAGAATTATGCTAAATCTACTCTACCCGTCCTCTATAAACAACATGGCTTACTGAATATTTTAAGCCCACTGTTGAGAACTACTGCTAAGAAAAAAAGATTCCTTTCAAAATATTACTGCTCACTGGCAATGTACCTGGTCACCCAAGAGATTTGATGGAGATGTATAATGAGATTAATGTTATTTCCATGCCTGCTAACAAATTTCATTCTGCAGCCCATGGACCAAGGACTCATTTCAACTTTCAAGTCTTACTTAAGAAATACATTTTGTAAGGTTATAGGTATCATAGATAGTGATTTCTCTGATGCATCTGGGCTGAGTAAATTGAAAACTTTCTGGAAAGGATTCAGCATTCTAGATGACATTAAGAACATTTGTGATTAATGGGAAGAGGTCAAAGGAGTTTGGAAGAAGTTTATTCTAACTCTTACTGATGACTTTGAGGAGTTTAAGACTTCAGTGGAGGAAGTAACTACAGATGTGGTAGAAATAGTAAGAGAACCAGAACTAGCCTGAAGATGTGACTGAATTGCTGCAATCCATGATAAAACTGTAATGGATGAAAAGTTGCCTCTTATGGATGAGCAGAGACCATGGTTCCTTGAGATGGAATCTGCTGGTGAAGAAGCTGTGAAGAATGTTGAAATGACAAAGGATTTAGAGTATTATAACATAGTTGATAAAGTTGAGGCAGAAATTCAAATGCTATCAAACAGCATCACATACCACAAAGGAATTGTTCGTGAAAAGAAGAGTAGATCCATATGGCAAACTTCACTGCTGTCTTATGTTAAGAAATTGTCACAGCTACCCCAACCTTCAGCAACCACTACCTTGATCATTCAGCAGCCATCAAAATTGAGGCAAGTAAAAGATTGCTACTCTCTGAAGGCTCAGATGCTGGTTAGTATTTTTTAGCAGCATAGTATTTTTTAATGTACATTTTTTTAAAGACATAATGCTATTGTATACTTAGTAGACTATAGTGTAGTGTAAACATAACTTTTGTGTACACTGGAAAACAAAAAAAAATTGTCTGACTCACTTTATTGCAATATTCACTTTATTGTGGCTGGCTGGAACTGAACGTGCAGTATTTTGAGTATGTCTATGCCTAAAAAGTATGAATAATCTAACCCTATTTTTGGGAATAACCTGGCTTTTTTTTTTTTTTTTAACGATTGAGTTGGCACCTCTATCTTTGAGCCCAATCCACAATTATGTCTTAATTTTGTAGTTCTTACTGTGACCCACATGTTATACCTTAGAATTAGAAAGCTGTTAAAAACAGCCATTAGTGCTTTATTGTAAAAACACATGAAAACTGAAATAGAGACAAGTCTTGGGAGCGAGTGGATAAAGCTGGTAATAAATGTGGCTTGTAGGTGTTCAGGCAGGATGAAGAGGTTGAAGATCTTAGGATCACAGAGTCCTCACTGGGCTGCCCTCCAAAGAGATTTTGGACTGCTCCACAGAAGTGGGTGGGGAAGGTGAGACTAATGGCATACTTCTGCTGGTCTTGCTAGGATGTTCTTTTGAGTTCCAAGAAGGTTAAAGTGCCATGCGCTGAGTTGCGCCATAGCTGGAAAGAATGGATGAAATGGGATATTTAAAAATTTTGTTTTTAATTAATAAATCACTGGCATTTTGTTTATTTCAGAGCACAAGGTTATCATTGTTGGGCTGGATAATGCAGGGAAAACTACCATCCTTTACCAATTGTAAGTATTAACTACTTTAAAATTTTATTGTTTATAGTTACTTTTTCTGTCTGGGTGATATTCGATTAATGAAAGCAATAGAATATTATATGGAATCTAAGTTACTCTGTAAGAAGGGAGGTTGGCCATAAACCAGGAGCCAAATTTAAGCAACTGTTTCTAGAGAGTTTACATTTATATGGCATTGAGCTTGTTGTTCAATTGTTCTCCTTGTAGGAAGTAGAGAAATATGTGTTTATATAGTTTCCTGGATGAATCTAGAGGATCGCAGATAGCCCACTACCTAGTTCTGCCTCTGTTTAAAACCTTAGCTCACTTTTATGAGCTACTGGAAAATAGACATTTGGGTATAACATGTAAAAGGGGGTCATACTGATTTATCCATTAACTGAAAAATATTCAATATAACTTCTTTGCTAATTGTAATATATTCAAACTTTTTTCCAGTTCTATGAATGAAGTTGTACATACATCCCCTACAATAGGAAGTAATGTAGAAGAAATAGTGATTAATAATACACGATTTCTAATGTGGGATATTGGTGGCCAAGAATCTCTTCGTTCTTCCTGGAACACTTACTATACTAACACAGAGGTAATGTTTCTTAATATACTAGAACTTCCATGAGTAGAATGCTTGGGAAACACCTTCTAGATGTGAACGCTTATAGTTCATCTTTTTTAAATACAACAGTATGTTAATATAAGTAGAGTTTAAACATAGTGGAATCTTTGATTCCCTATTTTGGGGTCATTGCTCTATATATCCACTGTCATTGAACCTCTGTAGGGAGAACTGGTGGGATTGATTAGTCTGATTGTATATTGATTCCAGAACTCATCTTAAGTAGTTGTTTTTATAATAAATTCCATCTCACATTTTGTAATGTCATTTCTTTTTGACTATTTTTGTGTAGAGGAAATCTAGGTAAAATCTGGTGGTTTCAATCTTAGCCAAAACTTTACCAACACAATTGCACATTAAAGAATTTATTTTCTTTTGTTTATAAAGCTATTTAGACAAAGCCGTGTTTTTATTTATATGCTATTTCCCAAGAGGAAATTTCAGACCGATGACATTTCAGAGCTTCATTGTATAGACCTTATAAATTGAAAAGCTGTGACAGTTGTTTTTATAGTGCTGATTATAAGTTAATAAAATTCCAAGTTAATACAAAGATGAATATTATGTCATTAAGACACAATTAAGGGTTTCTAATGACCTGATCCACTAATACTCCATAATGCATTTGGGAGAAAGGTAGATATTGTTATTATTCCTAAATATAACACTGCAGGTATCAAATTCATGGCAACACTTTAAAAATTAATAACTCTATTAAAATACCTTGGAATAGAATGAGTCTTAACAGTAATAAAGCTACATATCAGTAAGGTATCAAGTGAGAGAAGTAAGAGTAGTTCTCTTATCCATCTGCCTTACGGTTCATGAAATCTGAAGAGTTGAAAAGACTCTGAAAATTACAGTGATTTATTTGGAAATGAAAAGCTAGTTCTAAAAAATAAATAGTGCATACTAACAGTGGGCAGTCAGAATTAACCTGCGCATCATAAATGCCATCATAAAGTGACTGTATCGGCTCCTGTTTCCTTTTTGGTGGGCATAGAGTTGAGGAAGAGGTGCAGTATGGCTCCGTCCTGTACAGCTCCTTTACAAGTCTTTCATTGCATCTTCTGATGCTAGTCTTATCAGTTCAGGAGAGAGCTGTGCTTGCTGGTAGCAGGTGCCATTTATATAAGGAAGAGAACATGGTTTTAGATACAGATTTATTCTTGCAATTTGTTGACTTTTTTAATTGTCACATTACTTTATCCCATACCCTTGCCCTTTTGGATTTTCAAATGGATATTAATATAATAAAATATCTGTCTAGAAGTAACTTAAGTTTACGACCGTAATATGTATAGTTTTCTTATTTACTTACAATGTAAATAGATTTTATAGTCTTGTTAGCGTTCAAGATATTAAGTTAGGAAACATGTTATATAATAGTTAAAATATCAGCGAAATATTCTAATAGAATGTTAGTATGTATTCTCTTTTCTCCTATTTTTCTCTTAAAATTTAGTCAATATATTTGAGTTAAAAGTGAATCAAACCTTTAGGCTTCATGATGTATAGTAGGTATCTCTGGTTTTCCAATAATACCATGCCATAAGCTTCTAATTTCTTGATAGTTATAGCCTGTAAATCAAATAAGCATTTGATAAATTTTACAAATATCAAATTATATAATCACTAATGATATTTTTTTGTAATTTTTTCAGTTTGTAATAGTTGTTGTGGACAGTACAGACAGAGAAAGGATTTCTGTAACTAGAGAAGAACTCTATAAGATGTTAGCCCATGAGGTAAGTAGGATTCTGGCATAAGACGTGTTTGTGGGATATTTCTATCACATTTCTTCTTTCTACTTTCTCAAGAGGATACTATTTCAAGTTTTTAAAAAATTATCTGCTGGCCATACCTGCTTTATAATTTTGACACTTCCCAAATTGGAAGTGTATCTTAAAGTAGCAGAAAGATTGTGGAGTCATTTGTAGAATTTTATTTCATGTATCCCAGATAAATTTGGTATAGAAGTTTTCCTGAACAAAAGGACCTAAATTGGCTTTTCTTTAGCATTTTGAATAGATTAATTATACAGAGTATTATCATTGGAAATGAGATTTTAAAGTCTCACACACAACAAGTCTTAATTGTAACTCAGTTATTAAACTAATATTTAAATATGATTGCTCTTAAGTTTCTCTGATATTGTCCTTCGATTAAACAAAACTATATGACTATCCACATTTTCTTAGTCCTTGAGAAATATTACTGGTAGCATAATTTAAAAATTTAATAAACTAAATAATATAGTCAGTAATGATAATACTAACTATAAAATCATAATATTTACTATAGTGGCAACTGATTATATTTTTTATGCTTTTTATTGCAGATGGAATAAACTCATTTATAGATGGAAATAGAAAAATGAATATTTAGATGTATGTTACATAATTTTTCTTTCAGTGAAATTTTAATAAAGCTTAAAACTGGGGTATCTTTGTAATACAGTTTTATATTTTAATATTGATTTGATGATTTGCTTTTGAGATTTGCATTAAGAATTTTGGTATGTTTCAGATAGCTGTTCAAGACTTAAGGAAAGCTAGTAAAGTGGTTATGCAACTTGAAGTTCCTGTTTTCCTTGTGGTGATCATGCCCACCAAGATGCACTTTCCCCTGTTTTAGACTGATTGGGGCAGCTGTGTTAAATCCCTTGGGATTTTTTAAAAAAAAAATACATTTTGCAGTTATGCATGATTTAACAAGCTATGATTCTAGTTTGGGAAACAAGCTATAAAAGAGGCAGAACACTAAGGATTTCTTTCATTTCCCCTTTGTATTTTACAAAAGTGCAAGATTTTTTCAGTTTCTATCCAAGGGTGGTTTTATGTTCTTTGAAGACTTTGGGAAAAGGAAACTAAGACACACACAATCGTCTCGGCTGTATTTTGTCACTCTGTTAACAGGTAGCCTCCCTATTTGATTCTTACTCCAGTTGGCCAGTATGTAGCAGGATCAGTATATAAAGTAGTAGGGCTCAAACCAAGTCACTGAAATTTTCTTGCTGGGGGCATTAACTTGTGTTAATGTGTCTGTGTCACTTGACCAGCTTTTTAAGAGCCAGGATTTGAATTTAGGCATTCTCATCATTCAGGCTTTTTGCTGGGGGTGGAGGGGACGGACCACAAATAGGGCCTAGTTAGAAAGTGAAAGGAAACTGAATGGGGAGATGACCAGAGAAGAAAGAAATTATAAATGAAATTGGGAAACTAGAGTAAGTCCCTTAAAAGGTCAAGAAGAGCCAAATAAAAAGTTCTGGAAGGGAACAAATGGATCAAAGAGCAAGAATGTATTAATGAAAAATTTTGACATGGGGTTAGTCAGATGTTTCATGCGTACCACAGTCACCAGCAAAATCTTGTCACCATCACTGATAATGATTTTTTAAAATATGTTTTTACTGATTTTAGAGACAGAGGAAGGGAGAGGGATACAGAAATAGAAACATAGATGAGATAGAAACATCAATTGGCTGCCTCCTGCACGCCCCCTACTGGGGATCAAGCCTGCAACTCGGGCATCTGCCCTGACCAGGAATTGAACCAGTGAACTCTTGGTTTGTGGATCAACGCTCAACTACTGAGCCATACTGGCTGGGCTGATAATGATTCTTTATATGCATTACTAAATACAGAACTTTAGAATGTTTTTAAATATTACTGAAAGCTTCATCTTAAATGAAGTGCAAAACTTTGAAGCTCATGAATTTTAAAATAGTTCCAAACACTAAAAGACATGAAATTTTATTCAGAATGACTCAACTTCTAGGAATTATCTCTACAAATGAAGTTTTGAGGAACAAATTGACAATTACACATGGCATATAGAAGATGCTAAGTAAATACATCTTGCATGTGCTATTATTCATCTTGACTAAAGTATATTTTTAGATTCTTAAGACTAGAAATCTGTAATATGTAGCAGAAAAATTTTATAAGTGTTTAAAATGGCTGATGTACAAAAGATCACCACTGTTCACTTTGTATTTTGACTTCTTAAGTCAAGTTGATGAACAGCCTTAATCCAGAATAACTTTTTACTGTTATAATGCATAATTGGTGCTGAGTAAAAAAAAGTAAAGGATTATTTTCTTTCATCTCTACCTAAATACTTAAAAGTAGGTAAAGTAGCTGTTGGTTTTTATTTTTGTTTTTTAAATCTAGAACCCCAAATAAAAAAAGTTTGAGCCTTTGAGATCTAGAAAGATTATATTCAATATAGGGTTTGTTCATTTTTTTTGAGACCTTTCAATAAAAGGCTTTATTTCTTATGCTTTTCAAATTGTAATCCAGGGTCTTCTCCAAATAATTTAATCATTAGATGTGAGGAATATAGATTATTTATAAATAAGACAGTATAAACTTATGTTTCTTAACTTGTGCCAAGTATTTTTGTTGTCAAAAGTTTGTTCTTTGTACATGCCAGCATTAGCAATTCTGACCTGTATAAAAGGTTTCAACAGACACTGGCAAGAGATACTGAAACCTGAAAGATAGGAAGATAGGAATTAAATCCATGGAAAGTCCATCTATTCAGCAATTCAGCCACATATCAACTATTGATACTGTTCCATTTCCGTTTAGGATAAGAGAAAAAAATATCTGTGTCCTTGATGATGAGTGTGATGTATGCATTAGTTATAGTCCATCAAATCAGATTCTTGCATTTTATGTAAACAGGCAAACTGAACTATAGGGGAAACAAATTGAATGTGAAATCTTAAAAGCTAATATTTTAGAGTATCTGTTTCTGACCATGCTATTTGTGTTACGGTCATTAACTGTAGTGCCATAGCTGCTATCCTGCAGAGGGCACTGTAACTAAAAGTCAGTCTCTGTTATATAAAACATTTTACCTAAGTCCTTTTATCACTTACATTTTTAATTTACATCAGAAAGAATCAAAGAAGTCAATGAAACTATTGTAACAAGAGTAAAACAATGTGGAGCAATGTCAGTTTGTACCTACTGAAGACTTTCCTGCTTCAAACCCATATACACATGATTGAAACCAAAATATCCCACTGAAATCCCTAAGAAGAAAGATGGCATTCAACACAGTTGAGAAAACCTGCAAACATAGCACCAAGACCAGTGTCTCTTAATATATATAAGAAGAATTTTATGAGAGTTTAATCCACTGAGTGTATCCATCATGGATTCCTAGCCCATGATCTATGAATGGACTTTAGGGTACCTATGAACATCTTAAAATTGTACATAAACTTTTCTGCATACTCAGTAAATGTTGGTAGTAAGGAACAAATTCAGAAAGGTTAAAGAACTTGCCTCAGTCAGAACAGAAGTGGGAGGACTTACTATCTAACTGGGAAATCTGATAAGTTTAGTGCCAATCCAAGATGACCATATAAAATATTCAAATCTGAAAAGTCGTCTTGGACAAAGATAGAAGAGCTAGGTCTCAGAAAATGATAGGATTGGTTTAGGATAGCACCACTCAACTGAGAATTAAGCCCTAAGTCTCTAAGGCATACACTGTATATAATGAATTAGTTTATTTCCTATGCACCTAGAAGGTACTAGCTTTAGGTGTAAATATCTCTACCTAAAGTGTAGGTGGCAGTAGAATGTTGAAAAGCTCTTGAATGCCGTCCTGAAGAGTAGTTCTTACTAGTGGCAGAAGCCTAGTTTGGAGTTGGGGGGAATGGGTAGTTACATGTTTGAAGGCATGACTGTTAAATACAGCACTTAGGACCATAAAAGTAATCTAGGACTGTAAGAAATATGTAAATCCATACAAGTATAGATTGATTTATTTAAAATGTGTTCAGTTTGAAGTTTACCTTCCATCAGTATAAGAGCTATGAGATACTTTTATGTCAAGTAGTTGAGAAATTCTAGGTTACAAAGATTATTTAAAAAATTATATTCATTAAGTTGGAAAATCTCTGGAAAAAAGTGCACTGGCCCTTACAGTTTTATTTGTTTTTATAGGATCTAAGGAAAGCCGGACTGCTGATTTTTGCTAATAAACAAGATGTTAAAGAATGCATGACTGTAGCAGAAATCTCCCAGTTTTTGAAACTAACTTCTATTAAAGATCACCAGTGGCATATCCAAGCATGCTGTGCTCTTACTGGCGAGGGGTAAGAAGTCTTCCTCATGGATAACATGGCTTTAGCTTAGAAATATGAATTTCCTCTTAAAATCATATTTTAAGATTACCATGTACAGATGTTACAAGGGAGAGATGTAAGACATAGTCTACAATGAGAGTTTTTAACTTGGCTCTGTAAAGAATCAAACACAACATACACATAAACATACTGAACTAATATGTGAGCATATAGATTATAGTTTCTGTCGGAGTTCAGAGAAATTAGAATGTCATGGAGATCTGGAAAAGTCAGAAAACAGTTCTTAATCGTGGTGGGACTTTCACTATAAGAAAGGAACTATTGCTGAGCCTGTCCTGTGTCTTAAGTGTTTTCCTTACCGTGTATCATTTATTTCTAGCAATCATGTAGACCACTTGTTTTAAATTCACACTTTATGCGTAAAGAAGTTGAAATAGAAGAGGATTCATGTGTGAGACTAGTGTGGGTAGACTCACTTTTGCCACCGGTGTTGTCAAGAGGGAGTTGTTGCACTTTAAAAAAAAAGGGGGAGGAGTTAGAATAGGAGAGAGAGAATGTGGCATGAAAGTGTAGTTCTGGAAAGAAAGGTAGGTTCCTATAGGTGCCTGTAGTAGAATTTTGCTTTAGTCTAATGCCAAGAAACGAGAGGATTTCAAGAAGGAAGTGGTTGTCAGCATTGTGAAATACAACGTCAGTGACCATAAAGATGGAGATAGTGCTATTAGGAGAGATGGAATAGCGGAGGGTAGAAATAGGATAAAAAGCTAAAAGGCTGAGCAGCGTAAATAATGTTTTTGTTGTTGTTTTTCCAAAATGTGGTAGGTCTATATGTAATTAAAAATCAGAGAAAAAATAATTAAATTGGAGATGAAGGATTCTTAAATTAGGGGCCATGTTTCTTTGGGTGTTAGGAAAGGGCAGAAGCTTGGGGCACAGGTACAGTTTCAATATGGGTTATATAGATTTAACTTTCACCATGGTTTTGAAAGGAAGAGAATTTCTCCCACTTCAACTAACTCATCTATTTATGCCCCAATCCTTTTGTCCTTCCTAACACCAGAAGAACCTCAACCCCAAATTAAGACCTCTCTTTAGAATCTGTTATGTATATACCTTTTAAAAACAAAGAAAAAAATAATTAAATTGGAGATGAAGTTGAATCTTAGTGAAATAGAAGACCCTATTATCTAATTACAGACATTTGAAGAGCTTAATTAGAACCTCAAAAAAGCAAATATATTCATTTAAAGAAAAAAATCATAGATAATACCAATTGTCCACATACTCGTTTAAGTAAAAATGTTACATGTTTCTTTGTCAAATAGTTTAATACATGTCAAGACATCTATAGATATATCTTTATACATATTATCTTTATCTATGAAAGGACTTCAAGCAAAAGCACGGATTGTGATACTAAATTTGACAGACAAATCATCTAGGATTCACATAGTATTTAACTTATATACTGTGAGAAACTGTAGAAAATACATATGAACTCTGGCAGTTTCATTTTTGGAAGAGGAGATCAATAGTTGATGGTATATTTTCAATTTTTGGTGTGCATGGGCTTCCACTTGCAGCAGTCAGCAAGAGGAAATGTTTGGTTTTGGAGATGTTTCCCTACTGTAGCCTGGCTGCCTTGGTCTAAATTTTTGGTTTTAGTGTTGATTGGCTTTTGACTCTCATCTCTGCCATTTGCTAACCTCTGTAAGCCCAGGTTTCCTCTAATATGGGAAGGGTTCTGATCTCAGTGTTGTGAAAATATATTAAGGTAATAGATATTAAGTGCTTAGCACAGTATGTGCCAAAACACCAAAACAATCATTTGTTCACCTCATTGCCTGTTTTTTTTCCTTCTATCTTCTTTTATATTGTTAGGATCATACTTACACAAAAATCTGAGTTTTCAGTTTCTCATACCTATAAAAGCTCCTGATAGATCGTGGTTAATGCTTTATAACAGTTGTTATTTTGTTGTAACACAGTATATACAGCCGTTTTTCTCTTGCTGAACTTTCATTTTCTGTTACCACAATGAACATCTCTTTATTGTATTTTGGGTTATGTTCAGTTACCCGTTGTTCAGCAATAACTGGTGTTAGTGATATGAGATAGTACTTTCTTCAAAAAATGTTAATATATAGATGTAGCAGACATGTTATGTATATACTTTGTTTTAACAGCTCTACTGTATATTTAATATCCTGCCACTTTGACTTCATTTAAATCATGAGCATTTTATCATATTGTAAAATAGTCTTTGAAAGGAAGTTTTTAATATTTCATCATATGTCTCTATTTCTAGACATTTAAATTCTTTTTCCTCTTAAAAATGTTTTGATAAAGTCTTATACATAAATCTGTCTTTATGTTTTATTTTTTTAGGCTGTATTTTTAGAAGTAGAAAAAAGAGTAGAGAGGGTATTGATATTTTAAATACTCTTGATATGAATAGCTAAATTACTTTCCATGGGCATTCACATAATCACTGAGCTTTTATGTGTCAGGCAGTGTCCTAGGCACTAAAGACAAAGCAAACAAGAAAGCATGGTGTATTGTGTCTGAGATATGCTTCGCCACAGCAGCACCGATGTGGAATAGTGTTGATTTTTTAATCTTTGTTGTTGAGGTAAATGAAAAATGATATCTTGTTTCAGTTTGCTGTTTATAGCTTTTCAGTTGAGAATTTAATCAAGTGATTTTATTTTCTGTGTAGATTATGCCAAGGACTTGAATGGATGATGTCACGACTTAAGATTAGATGATCTCTACTGACCTTCTCATAGACTTTGTATAAATGAAGTGCTGGACTTTACCTGAAAGCTGCAAAAATTAATGGTTCAGATATATTTATAGTAAACTGATTTAAACTTTTTCTATAAGGAGAAAAATTAAGACCACTTATTTGAAAATGAAGATGAAGCCTCACCTTCCAATTGCTTTCTCATTAGTTTCTTCCAAAGCAAGGTCTTAAAGCTGTGATTGACATTTTCCTCATAACAAATCCTCTCAGGACATTGTGTAGCCTGTGGTAAGTACAAAGGGAGAGGAAGACATTTTTAAAAACTTTAAGAGCTTTATTATCAGTATAACCCTCCTTCATTGAATGTTCTCTTTTTGTTCCATTAAGTCAAAATACAAATTAGCACAGATACTCAGTTTCCAATATTTTAAAATGTAATGTTACTTGTGAAAAGTATTTTGCATAAAGTTGTGTATGTATTGTGTATACACCTCAACTTCAAGTTAATGGTTTTGATTTATGTTCTAAAGAAAAGTAACAAATTAATAATATTCTTTTGTGATAATGAGATGAGTACCGACATTGGTTTAAGTGCCAATTTGTACTTCCCCCCTATGTTCTCTGTATTGTACTAACCAACACCCAAAATCATTGAGCTGCTCTTTAAAAAAAAGAAAAATGTTTGACATTGTGTACCTATTTTGTTGTTACTCAAATCATATACATAGAAACGTAATCCAATGAGAGGAGTATCTATCAAATTCTTGGCTTGGTATTACTAGTGAGCACAGTTGCACATTGAGCAGGTATCAGATTGTTCCCCTTATTAGACCTTATGCCATCTAAATTACTGAGTAAATTGTTAGTTCATTATTCAATTATTAACTGTGATTAAAATTACCAATTGATTTTTCAGCATTAATTGAAAACTGTTGTGTGAAATGTCTACCCAAAGAAGTGTCATCTTATAAATATTATCAAATAATTTAGCTAGATCCTTTTTAAGTAGTAAATTATATGTCAAGCATTTAAAGTGAATTTGAAATGAAAAGTAAAACATATTCTCCAAGCAACAAAGATAATTTATTAATTTGAACATTTTTTCATTCTTAACTTTTGAAATAGTTCGAGATTTTTCATTTCTGTGTTTTCTTTATCTTCTTACACTTCATGAATGTATTGTTTTGACAATTATAAAATACACTTTTTTTTTTTAATGCTTTGAAGAATTTGGTTTAAAAATTGATCGACATAATGTATTATTTTTACTAAGAAGTAACTTGGCCCTGAGTACTTTCTATAATTATTATTATTTTTTCATAATCTGAAAGTCAAAAGTATTTCTGTTGTAATTGTAAACACTTACTGAACTAAATGTGTTAAAACATACTCTTGGGTACTCAGTCCCTGAAAATCTGAATGCTGATCCAAACTGGCATGTTTTAGAATATTCAAGAAAAAGTAATTACTTTTAATACCAGCCTTTTAGATTTCATGAAGATTTTGATGAGAAATAATAGTATATACTATAAGAATTGACAAAATTTTGAAAGTTGCTTTCTACAAAATTAAAATACTCAATATCTAAGTCCAAATTGGGCATGGGAGATGATCAGTGTTTAACATGGGATGTTTTGTGTTTTATATTTATATTATAATGTTCAAAATGCAAGTATATCATTTTATTATTTGTCAACTTTTACAAAAGTAAATTCTAAATTACTAAGCTTTATTTGTTCATATGTTCTCGTACTTTTTTCAAATCACTGTAAGGAATTACTTGTTATATATTAAAAACTCCCTTAAAAACCCAAATCTAGGTATTACAGTTTCACCAGAGAAAAATATTCTATACAGTAGCCCAGAAAATCCATACCTTTTATTCTTTTTATTTTTAATTTGAGTAATCAAAGTTCAGTCTCTTGGATTGCTGCCACATCAGTTCAACAATGTACCAGCACATTCCCTTGTCATCAAGGTGTGGGCCAAAATTTATTCTAATTGGATGTTTAAAGCGTACACTACATTGCTGCAGTTGCTTTAGTGTAGTCGATTATTGACATGGCATCATGAGAATGCATGAAATCTTATACCACATTTGCAAACATGCTTTTTTTTTTCTTCATTTTTATTCTACCATTCTAGGCCTGTGCATAAAACCAAAATTAAAATGGGAAAAATAATTTAAATTCATGTATCAAAATCATTTTAACAGTATTATTTCCAAATAAGATGGAGAGCGTATTGGCAATCTATATGTTGTTTAAGTGTAATTAAGCAAAAGACAGTGCTTCCGGCTTTTTAACATGATACTCTTAGATGTAAACAAACATTTTATTTTGGATCATTATGCTCAGCTTTGGAAAGGACAAAGCCTCATATCTCTGTACATGTGGCTGGATTTAAATATCCCATGTTTGATAACTAATTTTGAAAGTCGTATGACCTATCTTGATATCTTGGTAAAAGTAGCTATATGGTATAAGCATTTAAATATGTTGAATTTTACCATAACATTTATAAAGTATATCTTACACAGTATATTGAGTTGTTGTTTAAAATTTTCAGTTCTCTTTATCTTAGGCTTTCGTGGTGGGCAAAGAATACAATGAAGGCAGGTAGTTTGGGGGCCGGAGGAAGTGGGTAGGGATTATGACATTTTGCCTTAAGAATAAAAAAGTGCTTTAGCACTGCTGACTGGCATTTTTAATGCAGGTAGTTAAAGGGATTTTTAGAAGTGTGGCATACCATAGAGGAGTTTCTGTTTTCTGGCCTTTAAGAAGTGCCTTGTAGGTAGTTACAGTGAGGTCACAGAGAAGGGCACGGTGGTTGAGGAAAGTCAGAAAGTCCCTGAGATACTCTTTCTTTTTCTGTCTGTATAGTATCAAGATGCCTAGAAGTGGGATTCTATTATGCCCTCTTTTACAGGCACTTTACATTTATTGCTGTGACTACAGCAACCACATACAGTACAGACAACCTCAAAATCTGCTTATATTAGTGTAAATAGAAAAACCAGATAATTTTCTAGTTTTCTCTGCAGGCATTTTTGGGACTGTATCTGTAGTGTGTTCTATGTACACAGGGAATAGCAGCACATCCCAGATTGTCTGTGGACTTTGGGGTGATCGTCTCTCAGTGGCCCAGTTGTATCTTGGCATTGATCCATCTTTACGGCCGGGTAGAAGACAAGGTTTCTTTGCATAACTTAACTTTGACCCCTTCCACTGTCTAAATATAATCTGGAACTTCTTGCTTCAGGATCAGCTTTCCCATAACTCGGCCATCCCTTGCTCTCCTGAATCTTTATTCACCAACAATGAAGATATAGACCTCTGTGCTGGAGGTATTCTAAACTTTGCCTGTATCCAGTGTTCCCCAAACCATGAGTTTCTAAGCAGGTTCTCTAGTTCTTTGCTATCCTCTCACCACTGGCTTGATTCATTGGTATACTTTGCTCATTAGAGAGTATTGTCAGAGTTGTTGAGTACATCAGAAGACTGGCTTGTTGTGTACATAGCATACAAATGCCATAGTAGAGTTTTTAAAATTATACTGCATTTAACATTTTAATGCTTCTTAATTTTAGCTTCACACGCTGAAAAGTAGATTCAGAAAGATAAGAGGACTATCTAGACTCTTCCAGCTCCTTGAGATAAAAAGTTACAGAAAGAATTACATGATAATAGTATTACCTTCCCATTACCAGAAATGGGTTACATTTTGGAGAGTACCAGTGCAAATAATTTTAGTTGGGAAAAGATGTCAGACCAAATTTACATACGGTGTTTAACCTGAAGACATCTTTACATCCATAAAACCATAAACCACATTTTGGTTTTTTTCCTTTTGTTTACTTAAAGAGAAAAGCTAAACATTTGCTGTCTAAAGGAATTAGTAATGAGAAGTCTATCTTTACAAAATAAAGCTGTTGAAGTGGGCTTTAAAGGATGTAAAAATCATCTGCTGTCCTGTGTTAACTCCGTAGATGAAGACATAATATTGAAAATACTTCTTTCAAGTTCCATTTATACAAAAATAAAACTTCGATAGCATGCTCCCTCAAAGAATGTATGATAATTTTAAGATCATGACGGAGTAAAGGAAAGAAAGACAGAATTTAAAAACTTTGGGTGCTAAAAAGTAATTGCTTTTATTAAGCCCTAAAATTGTATGTGGAATTGTAAAGAAATTGTACCAGGATATAGTTGGGTTAATTTTGCAATCCACTTCTCTAGCCCTGTATATTCTAAGAACTAAAGCTTCAACCTTTATGGTCTCGCCTGCTAGATAGTTCTTTGGTAGAAAATCCCCATAGTCTGTACTCAAAAAGTGCCTAAAATTGATTTGTGTTGATTTGTAAGTCTGCTAATAAATTATGTGTGTGTGCTTGGCTTACTGATGACACAGCCCTGAGGGTTTCTAAATCTCAATTTTTGCTTTATTTGAGTAAAAAGCCTTGAAATTAAAAATACCCATTATAACCCTCAACAAACCAGTTGAAGGAAACATGAGTGAAACTATTTTTTCTCTTTCCTAATACAAATACTTTGTGACTCTAATGTTAGTTAATGCAGGGACTAGAAAACTGAATTCTATTTCTGTTTTTAAAAATAGTTTTAACACACAGAACATTATATTGTGTGTTGTAAAACCTTAGTAAAAGGGGGTTGCTTGTGTAACAGTCTCTTCTCATATTTACTGGTTAGCAATTTTGAATCATACATGTCATTTAGCTCTTGAGCCATTTTCTTTGTGCACACCAAAATCCTTCCTCTTTGTTTAGGTTCTACTTAGAAACCAAAATATCTGATAGAACCCTTTTGTTTTTCATACATTGTTTCTTTTTTTTTTTTAACCATTGAGTATGACTTTAAAGTCTAGGGGCAAAGACTTGACTATTTGCAGTGAGTTACAATTACATTGTGTTCATATTTTAAATCATCCTGCATGAAAAATGAAATGTGCATATGATTTTAACTTATTGTAATGTATACCCTTCCCGAGAACTTTTTACATTGATGATATACAGAATTCCTCTAATTATTTTTGCTTGAAACTAGTTCTTTAGATTCAAATAGCCTTTTCTTAACATTATGTCCCTCTCTGGTTCCTTGAGTTCAGGTGATACCTGCAGAGCACTTTTAAAGATATTTTCTGGGTTAATGTTCAACATGACACATCGAGGAGGAAGCTATAACTTTTTCTAGTGAGGACTCTTTTTGGCAATATGTATACTGATTTTAATTTGTGCTTAAAATACATTTTACTAATTATATTGATTTTAAATATGACACATTCTTGTAGATACTAATCTTCCTTGCTTATTGTATTTTCCTGGTGATCCTAGATGAAAATGTGTTCCAACTAGTCTCTTGTATAACTTCCCCTCCCTAGTTGAGCTCAATGTATATTGACATCATTGAAGCTGCATTTAATGCAACAAACTAGAGAACCTTTTGAAAATTTTTAGGTTTGTTGTATTGGAATGTCTGGTATGATAAAAGGTTTTCATTCAAGCTTTATAAGCAAGAAGATGCTGAAAATTTGTCTTATCATTTTATGAACTTGTGTTTCCCTGCATCCTACAAAGATTTTACACCCAAGGAAATGTGCAGAAAGTGATGATCTTAGAGCACTTGTGTGCTGTCATGTTTCATCAGTGCAGATGTGATGGGTACCTAGGGAGATAATGCTTCAGGGCCTTCTTGATAAGACAACTTTATGGATGGTTGTGGATATTTATGTTTGTGCTCAGGTTGGAAGGGAGTGGCAGATTGGAGTAGGGACCTCTCCATTGGTAAAGCAGTACAATCAGTTCTTTGCAAGTGTCGTACTTCATTATACTTGTAACAACATTCTTGTGTCCATACTTAACTGAAATGTTGAGCTACAGAAATGTAAGGCATTGGGTCACGTAACTGGTAGTAGGACATTGTTTATAATGAAATAAAGGAATCATGTCAAGATGTGTTTGGGGGGAAATGACAAATAAGGTTTTCCTGGTGAATTTTTATGTTTAATATGTACATTAACTTTTTTTAAAGTTGCATGTTAAGCTGGGATAAAGTATTGTCTCTGCTTTATGTTTTACTGAGTAAAAAGAAAAAAGATTTGAGTTAAATTGTTACTCTGTTATGTACTATTACATATACCTTTTCTTTTAGAAAGGGCTAATTATAATTACTCTTCAAACATTGGTGTTGTCAGTGTTTTTGTTCTGATTTATTCTCTGGATGTGTGCAGACTTGGCAATGGTAGTTCTATGAACTGTTCAGGGCTGGGATCAGCCAGGGCAATTGGAAAGGTGTCACGGTGGCATTATGCAAGTACAAAAAAGATTATCCTGATCTTCTCTAGGGACCTTTTAGGGAACTTAGTCAATTAATAGAGAGCATCCTGCCTTTTACTTCCGGAAATTTGAATTAGACGTTGAACCTGCTATATAGTGACCAGTTTGTGTGATTTATTTGTCTTAAAATGTGAGAAAAGTCGAGTCATTTAAAATGAATATTATTAAAGTGAACATTCATAAGAATGGTTAATAGTAGACAGAAGAAAAATAAGGAAAAAAGGTTGGGGGAGAAGAGTCACCCATATGCATATGCTTATTATATTGGTCTTTTCCACTAGGACGTAAGCTCCGGATGCCAGTGACCATAAGTGTTGTATTTACCAGTTTGTATCTCTCAGTGCTGAGCACAGCACCTAGTATGTAACAGGTGTTCAATTTATATGTTTTGACAAATGAGTGAACTATTAATATTTTTGTGGAGGTTTTTTTCCCCATGGATAGGTTTTTCTTTTCTAATCTCAATTCTTACTTAATTCTGCCTAATATTAAGAGAGATTCAAGGTGATTTATATGTTTTTTTCACTAGTTCTTACAGTAGAAATCAGATGTATTTCCTTGAAAATGGCCTAAAAGCATCATGCATTACAAATAAATATGTGCAAATTTCACTTCTTTGAGTTCTGTATGTATCTGCATCTGGGAATGCCAGGAATGTACCAGACTTTATTGTAAGCATATGCAGACGTTGAAATAGTAAGTGGTACAAAGAGCTCTTTTGGGGAAAGATCTGTGTCGTCGTCTTCTTGATCCTTTATGCTCTTCTTTTTTTAAGTTTTCATGACAGAAATATCCTCCTTTTGCTAGTTAACTTTTGTCCCGTGAAAGGAATGAGATTTTTACAGCATAAAATAGCCTCTGGTAGTCCTTCTGAATGTGTTCCTTCTGATTGGCACCAACCTTTTGAGACACCATGAGTTGGGCTGAGTGGCCAGTCAGTCGCATCACTACATGCCTTACATTCTAGCAAAACTGGTCTGTATCAAAGTGGCTGAGATCTTTTCGAAATACTTCCAGTGTTTGGATGCTTCTAGTATATTAGACACCCCCTCTCCCCCCAAATAATATTCTCCCATATCTCCATTATATTTTTGTACAGTCTCTGACTTACAGTGTTTTGACTTTAAAGCAGTACACATTCAGTAGAAACTGGCTGGGCTAAGCTGTGGTGTTGGGTAGGTTAGGTGTATAAAATGCATTTTTGACTAACAATATTTTTGATATACAATGGGTTTATCAGGACCTAAACCCATCATAAGTCATGGAACATCGTGATGGACATCTTTCACTGGAAGCTTTTTTCATAGTTAGGAGTATTTCTTTTGGCTGGAATCCCAGAGCTAACTGACTGGATGAAATGGTATGGAATTTGAGAATGCCTGTTATTCCATGTTTCGTTAATATTATGTTCATTAATATTACCCTTTAATAAAAGGATAAGCATGTTGTCTTATTTTACACTTAGTTGGACTATTTTTCTATGTTTCATTTTCTTCTTAATTATTCTTTTACTTCATTCACTTATTATTAGAATTCTAGTGTTTTTCTTGTGAATGAATTAAGCTTTTTAAATAGTAAATATCCTTAGCCCTTGATGATATTCTTGTAGACTTTGTAGAGTTCCTGGTTTGCCCTTTAATTTTTATAATTAATTTTTTAGCATAGACAAGTTTTTATTAATGTAAAAAAAAATCACATAAGAAATATGTGATTTCTTTGAGTGAAAACCATGAAAGAAACGTAACTAATCAGCAAAAAGAAAATTAAAATTGTTCGTTGTCCCACCATTCTAAGAAAACCAGTATCAACACTTTGGGAGGGATATATATGAGTCAGTGTTTGAATGTAGAATTCTAAAAAGCCCTGTCATTTACCACAATATACTACACATTTGCTGTTTGGACTGCTATAATTTATTTAACTAGTCTTCTGTTGATGTCCACTGTTGTTCCTTGTTTCTCACCATTAAAAACAAGACTGCAATTAGTACTCAAATTTGTTTTTCATTCAGTTTACAAGTTGAATTGCTGTGTCAAAGTGGATAGATTTTTAAAAGGCATTATTGGCATATTGTCCATTCTCTTCCCAAAAGATTATCCACATCCTTGTGAATTCTTTATTTGAACATCAAAGATGTTTGGTCATTTGTATTGTGTAAATTTTCTACCTCTTTTGTATATTTTGCTACCGGCTTTGTGAAAATTCTTTTAAAGAATATTAATCTTTTGCCATTGTCATTAATATTTTTATCATTTTATGGTATCTTAAGTTGTTCTTAGCAGAATTTTTTAATTTAGTTGGATATATTAGGTTTTCTTTATGGTTTGTGCCTCTTGTTCAAAATTTTTGTGATGGAGAAGATTAAAAAAAAAGAACTATAATAGTTGTAGGATATTTTTATTTGTACCCGTCATGGATGATAGTGACTTTCTCTATATTCCCCTCCCAATAAACTATTTGCAGTCAGTGTAATAGATCGATAGAGAGGACATGATTGGCTTTTCAACCTACTGGAATGTGTGTCCTGCATTTTAAGTGTTTTTAAGAGTTTGCCTTTTCTGCAGGACCCTCCTTAAGCCATACACTGAATACAGTTTAATAGTAAGAAGTGTTGAAAGTCTTGTATTAATTCATATATTCATATACACACACACACGCACACACAGTGTCCATCCATCAATATTAAGGGATTTGTTAAATTATAAGATGAAACATCCTGCCATTAAAATAAAAAAATTTTTACAAGGAGATTTTAATAACATGGGGAAAATGATTGATGACTGTGACATGTTAAGTGGGGGAAAAGGTAGAAACTTTTACATCTAGTATCAATTCAACTATGCTTGGGAAAAGCATTAACAAATAGGAAGAAAATGTATCATAACATTATATGGGACAGGTTGTTGTAAGGCAAACATGTTGATAATTTTCTCATCATGTTTCTGTGTTTTTCAAATATTCCACACTGAGCACGTTCCATTGATAGAGAATAATATCTGGTCATTTTTGTTTTTAAAGCATCTTAATGGGGCTCGGAAAGAATACCAAAAAAGTTTCTAATTTAGCCTGGCAGGCGTGGCTCAGTGGTTGAGCTTTGACCCATGAACCAGGAGGTCAGGGTTCAATTCCCGGTCAGGGCACATGTCCAGGTTGCCCTTGATCCCCAGTAGGCGGCTGCAGGAGGCAGCCGATCGATGACCCTCATCATTGATGTTTCTTTCTCGTTCTCCCTCTCCCTCTCTCTGAAATCAATAAGAACATTTTTTTTTAAGTTTCTAATTTATAAGTAAGTAAGATACGGCTCTGTTTTTTTGTTTGTATTTTTCTTTATTCAACACTTTTGGGGGGCATTATGAAGAGAGAGGAAGATGATTAGTAAAAATTAATTCAATAATGCAATACCATTTGCGACCTCCAGGGCAAGTTGCAGTGATTTTGATAGAGTCCCCATCACTTGATAATTTTACCACTTTTAAAGGACTCTTGAACATATATAATCTCCATTCAGGTGGTTATTTTAAAAGATACAAGCAAAATGCAGTGAGAGGAAAAAGGTATTTCCAGTGGGTGAGTCAAGAGGCTTTGCCAAGTGAGAGGGCAGAGTAAACCAACGCTGCTGGCCTAGGAGACAGCCTAGTCATGAACTTGGCGGCCCCGGTGCATGCAAGGCTCTGCTCACTTTTAATAAATGATGTTCTGTGGAACCTGTATGTGAAACAAAAAACACAAAATTAATGTCTTATATCTGTTTATTTTCTGTAAATTTCCATGATATTACTGGATGAAAACAAGGGCAGATTAATTAAAATTAAATTTAATTAAAACCTTACATTGATTTTTCAATTTATTCATGTGTGTTCACTTTTTAAAAGTGGGGAAATAATTGACAAAAAATGGAAAAGATAGATTTACATAGAAATGATAACTTTAAAATGTTTAATGGTCTTATTGTACATATAAATGGTGTTAACATTTTGGCTTAATTTTAATAAAACTTAATTGTGTATTTTAGAGACAGTAGCAGTCATTTTTTAAAAGAAAATGTAAAATATTTTTTTCAGATTATAAAATGACCTGTTTGTTTTTGTACTTGGTAAATGAGAACCAAATTAAAATTATTTATAGTTTAATGAACTACTTTATATTTGCCAAATAAGAACATTAATAAAAGATGTGGCATCAATTTATACAATTTTATGGTGAATATGGCTCTATTTTATTTTTATATTATTATTTAATTAAATAACAGAGTCATTAAGACAAAATCATTTGAGCCCATTCATGAAAAAGCATTGTTGACGTATGAGTAAAAATCAGAAGGAAAATTACACTAAATTGTTAACAGTAGCTTTCTCTAGGGAATGGGATTGTGGGAATACAAAGTCTAACTTTTATGCCAGTTACAAAAATGACTTAGTTGTAACTAAAATTTTTATTTTTATTTAATAATGTAATTGTTAAATTATTACAGTAATTATAATTAAACAGAATGTTAGTCATAATTTTTTGGTAAGTTGGAGCAGAGAAGTATAGGAAATAGATATATCTAATGAAGAGTGAAAATAAGTAATTTAAAATTTTCTAGTGTGACAGTATCAAAATTATAATTAACATGCTGTTCTAATATTAGAAAACAAGGTAGCACTTTAAACAGTCATAAATATATGAAAATTAAAACAACTTTTAGTTTAAAAGATGATTCAGGTAATATCTTTTGATTAAGCTGCCAGCAGACAGAGTGTGAAAGCGATAGCTTTCTGAGTGCCGCGGCTGTAAACAAGCGTGGATTCCGTTCCCGCTGTGTGGACAGGAACCAGATGTAAGCCTGTGTCTTATTCAAGGACAGTGCTGATGATACCGTTTCCACAGACAGTACAATGCTGCAGCTGGCTCTGTCAGTCTCGGAAGAGGGCTCACTTAAAAAAGACCATGAAGTAATTGGCAGTTCAGGGGCAGTATTTTAAAGGAAATGAGCTGGAAGTCTGCTCATCAAAGTCAAAGGAAACTTTGTGCTTTATTTATTTATTTATTTATTTTGTTTCTTCAAAGTGTAACCAACCATACAGCTTACATAGCCCATTAGGAATTCAGGAAAAGGTGACAGTGTTAAGGATTCTCCTTTTTAAAACAGTCCTTTGAAGGGGAGAAACTTCTTGGGCAAGAAATTATAGAGGTCTCTGGAATTTAAACCTACATTGTTAATTTCATTTAAGGCACTTTAAGAAGGGGGTTTCAGAGATATTAGTTATCTGTTCCCTCACAGTGTCAGGCTGACAAGCATGTAAGTGCATGAGTCTAAACAGCATGAAAGCAGAGTCAGAATTCCCACCTTCCTTAGCTCAAAGGAAACACAAATTACGTGAGTAGCATACAAAAAACCTGGCCAAAAATCCATTGAGTGCATATCTAGTTTTCTTAGGACAGTATTTTAGCTACAAATGATTTTTTGATACTGCGTGTATGTCCTTACTCCCCTTGTCTAGTATCCCCAAATACGTCCCTTGGCTTCCTCTATACAGCAGCATAGTAAAGTTCAACAGATATCCGAGTACCTACGAAGTCTTAGAAACTGCTGGGGGTCAGGGATGCAGAAAACGAAACCATGTATGTTCCTAGGTTGCTTAATCTGATGGGTAAGATCTATAAACAGATAGCTCGTGCTGTATTAGAAACATAACATGTAGGTATTTCTAACTTAAAAAAAAAAATTATCTTCATTATTGAAAGTATTACAGATGTCCCGGTATTTCTGCATTTACTCATAAAATTTCTGTCCTGTGTACTCTTGGAATGGCCCAAAGATCTGTAAGAAATATGTGCCAGANGAAAGGAGGAAGTAAAACTGTCATTATTTGCAGATGACATGATATTGTACATAGAAAACCCTAAAGACTCCATCAAAGTACTACTAGATTTGATAAACGAATTCGGCAAGGTAGCTGGATACAAAATCAACATCCGGAAATCAATAGCATTCTTATACACCAACAATGAATTTTCAGAGAGAGAAACTAAAAAAGCAGTACCACTTACCATTGCAACTAAAAAAATAAGATACCTAGGAATAAGCTTATCCAAGGACGTAAAAGACCTATACTTGGAAAACTATGTGACACTGAAAAAAGAAATAGAGGAAGATTTAAATAAGTGGAAGAATATACCATGCTCATGGATTGGAAGAATTAATATCATTAAAATG